AACAATAGGGGTTGTCCTGCCATTTGACTCCTTTTGAATTTCAAAAGCAATTGCTTTGACTTCCTGTAATGAGAGGCTTTTCTATACCTTTTTTTATTACTCTCTCATTATTATGATCAGCAACTTCAAAACAGCTTGAATAACTTCGGGGAGCAGTGGAGTTTGAATCCAGGAGATGGAGCATTTTATGGTCCTAAGGTTAGTGACTCAGCATTTCAGTATAACTTTGGGATGGACAGAAATGCAGATGTACTGCAGGCAGACTATATTTAGTAACTGTGTAATTTTGCTTCACAGATTGATATTAAAATCAAAGATGCAATTGGTAGGTACCATCAATGTGCTACCATCCAGCTTGACTTCCAGCTGCCCATTCGGTTTAATCTTACTTATGTTGGGTGAGTGGTTAAGCTGAATATCTTCCTTTTTAAAATGAAATCTAACAATAGCTTTCATTATCTGTAATTCCCATTATGTACTAATGCTATATTGCTCATTTAACAAATGATTACCTTGTAAATCAGTCAGCTGGCAGGCAGAGCAAACACTCCCAGTGGGTAGAGGAGAGAGTCATGAACTTGAAGATATTTTCTGAAGGTGATGATAGCTCACTTTAATTGTAAATGCAGGAAAAATCTCATTATCTGTCTTGTCAGCCAGTTTTGAAGGCAATTGATCATCAGTAATGCTAAAAACCCCTCAGCTGAGTCACTTTTCGTTTTCAGCCCAGTCATTGTGTCTCCTTGGAAGACACAGCTCACAAATTCAACATGCTCTAAGGAGCAAGTATGTTTGTACTAAGTGGTTCTTTATTTTTATCAGATTAAATTAACTATTTTGAACATCAACCACGTGCTAACAGCTTTTAGTGAAAATGTGGCTGGTTTCCAGCTAGGCCCACTGAGCAAATTACTTTTAGTGCTACATTGACTTGAATACTCATTTTCTGGGTTGTATTTCTTGCTGTGTTTGATTTTTGCATATTATGAAGATGGGGAAGAGAGAGTAAGAATCTGTATTTTTATGGTCCTGTGGTATATTCTACAGTAGATGTTATTGCTTTTGTGATAGGTGATAATATTGTTATGAACTAGCTTTTTTTTTAAAGCCAGGTTTTTTTAAATTTCAGGATTGTAATTTAAGTGAAGTTATGAAAAGTAAGGGCAAGTAAGTTCCTGTGCAACAAAACAAAAGCAAGTCCTAATGGAAGGAGAGTGCAAGGAAGAACATAAAATATTAAAATGCACAAAAATGGTGCTGAGTCAGTCAAGTGTCTTCTCAAATTTGAGTGTATCTCTGCCACTAGCTATAGGCATGATTATTTTAAATCAGAATTTCTTTAAAAGCCCAGCTGACTTGAAGTACATTTTTAATAAAACCAGTAGTCTTTTCATAAGTATAACTAACTAAATTTTGTCTTTGTTTAAAGTGGAGTCAAAAATATTAGTAGGATTACTTGTGTCTCTGCTCAAATAACTGTATTTTTTAAAAAAACCTTGATTTTTAAATTTTTTTTTTAGTAAGGATGGTGATGACAAGAAAAGGCCAGTGATTATTCACAGAGCTATTTTGGGATCTGTGGAGAGAATGATAGCTATTCTAGCAGAAAATTATGGAGGAAAATGGTATGTGGCACAAATGGAATTTTCAGAACACTAACAGCGTAGAAACTGCATATCCTTCCTATTGTCCCATATATTATAATGCAAAAATAATATCCCAAACATTTTCTCAAAATTAGTAAGATTACAGAAAAAGTCCAGTTTTCTGGCCTGATTTATGTGGTATCCATACAGTTTCATGAGACTGCAGAAAAAAGTAAAAATAGTGCAGAAATAGGAATTGTAGTGGAATGTATAAATCCTGCATTATTCTTGTTCCTTATTTCTTTAAAATTGTGCCTTTGTACCAGCAGGATGTCAGATGTATTTAAAGCAATTATTTGTGTATACACAGACATTCATTAATCGAAATACGTGAAATAGTTTCGTACTTCAACATTGATCATTTTATCTTGGATAAGCTCTGGAAGTATTTCTTAATAAATGTATTTAAATTACTAAGGAAGAGTTAATTCTTATTTTCAATCACTTGACTGTCCACCTTCATTGTAAAGTTATAGGTAAAAGTGGAAGTTATGCAGAAAAAAATGTTTAAAGTTGTGAAGTCATTTGTGAAGAAAACAGAAGGTCCAACTTCCCCATATGTCATTTTACTGAAATCAATCTATTTGCTATTTTACGTGAGCTTGAAAAGAGGGAGATAATACACTCCCCAACATCCTTAGCTAATGTAAATCATTCTATACAGCAATTCTTATTGTGGAACATGACTGGAAATGTAAAATGCACCTTTGTTTGCTGTTTGTCCTGTGCTGGCCAGGCCGTTCTGGCTGTCTCCGCGGCAGGTGATGGTTGTGCCTGTGGGCCCCACGTCGGAGCAATACGCCCAGCAGGTGAGAGGAGAGCTTGTCTCCTGATCTCCAGGCAGATTTCAGACATCCTTAGTACTTGTCCTAGACAGGGAATTAATGCTTAATGACTCTGGAGATAAGTCTGGGGGGAAAGGTAAATTCTTCAATATAAAAGTTTCTGTCCAAGATTTGTATATGTCTGAGTAAGGGGTGTGTAACTTCAAGTATTTTGGGTTCTTTAATTATGTGCATACTTCTGTAATTATTAAAGGACAAAGCATCCTGGATGACAAACCTTATATAAATAATGCTTTATTACAGCACTCTCAGCTCTAATTAGGCAGAGCCAGTTTCTTCCATTTCCCACCATGACTACATCACTTTTGAACCATGATTGGTTTTACCCTGTCCCATGCTTTTGTTTTAATAAAAGAATAAGTGTTTGTTCCTACTCCTCTTTCTCCTTTCTCAGACTGAGGACGTTTTTGACATGCAGTAGTAGAGCAGCATGCTTGATATAGATGTTACCTTGTATTGTTTCCCAGCTGGGGTGCTGCTGTGTGTGCAGGTTTCTTCAGATAACCTCACTGAAATCCTTATAATCATCCACAAGAATGAAATTATGCATACACATGAATTAATTGTTGGGAGAGATCAATAATTGCAGCATTTACAAGTGTATGTTGTAAACTGTATAGTAATACTAAGAGGGTTTTGCTTTCTTGGGGTTTTTTTTTAGGTTTGCAACCAGTTTTTTGAAGCAGGTTTTATGTCAGATGTGGATCTAGATCAAAGTTGCACATTAAACAAGAAAATTAGAAATGCTCAGCTGGCTCAGTATAACTTCATTTTAGGTAACTGCAGCATCTTACATTTCTGAATATCATTTAAATTCTAATGTTGGACAAAGTTTGTTTAGACTTATTTTCTAATGTAGATTGTGTAATATTTTGTGCTGTGTCTTGCAGTGGTTGGAGAAAAGGAGAAAGCAAATAATGCTGTCAATGTGCGAACGAGAGACAACAAAGTTCACGGAGAGATTTCAGTGTCTTCTACTATTGACAAACTCAAGAAATTTAAGACTTCACAAATTGCAAATGCAGAAGAAGAATTCTGATGTTGCTGCTAGGAAAAAAAAAATTAGCTGCCTGTGTGAAATGTTTCTTTCTTCCTGCACAGCAGTGAAGCTCATCTGAGAGAATTTTCAGTTAATGGATACACAAAATAAGCAAATGGAGCACTGCTGGTGCTCCAGGAAAAGCATGGGAGGACAGATGCACCTGCCAACTCCTTTAGCAATCGCATGGGTTTCCAATCTGCCTGAGTGGCAGAATGCTTATTTAGGAAGTCCTACAACTCTGATGGGGTGGGTTTGCTGTGGAGGGAAGTCAGGGCTGTACTGTGTGGGGATCAGGAGGCTGGGAAGGACGGGGGAGATCTGGGAGAGCTGAGCTCCCTCAGTCACAGAGTCCCAGCTCTCCTGACTGTGACCTGGCAGCCTGAGCTTGGCCGTGCCTAGGTGCCTCGAGAGCAGTTTGGGTTAGGCTTTTTCCTAACTACAGATGGTAACAGAAATTTGAGGGGGGGCATGTGAACATCTTGGTTGTTTCAGAATGTGTGTTCACAGAATATTAATGCACTGGAGTCCTTTTTGGAAGGCGTTGGAAGGCTCAGTGTAACAAGGAGTTGGTGTGATGAGTGGCTGCTGTGAAGCTGACAAGAATGCAGTTTAATTACTGTAACTGTGTGTGAAGTGTTTTATTTTTTTCCTCTGTCTGCTGTTGTTTTGGCTTTTTACTAAAACAAAAAAAAACAACTTTGAAAAACTTTTCTGTCTGTAATTTATTACTTTATTTGCTGAAAGTAGAATGCTGAGAAGGAACGGAGGACAATTTTAATTTTAAAACAGTATGTTGGACTTGAAACTGGCCATATTTCTGTTTTGTTTATGCTTAGAAGCGGTTTTAAAGCTGCTGTTGCTGGATTTTTTTGAGATTAATTTTTTACCATTTTTTTCACTTTAACATGCTGTTATTTAGTTAACAGGCTTATGTAGTGTTAAGTGTATTGCTCAGTTATCTAAGCTATTCCGCTGTAGTTGTGATTTAAATATCACAGCCAGGAAGCAGAAGCTACAATTTAGTGCGTAAATATTAACACAAATACAAAGCTTTTGTTTTACTTTGGCCTCACTCATACAGACGTGTGTTAAATAGGTCTGTGTTTGGTTTTGTATTCGTTTGTGAATCTGTTTTTATCTCCTAAAAGAAAAGGGGGAAAAACAAACATTGAAGGAGCAAGGGGAAAGCTTTCCGTTCCACTTGACAGAATTAACACGGGGGCTGGCGGGCGATTTTTATCTCTGTATTTTATACATACCTACATTTTCATGGACAATCGCTTTCGTGCTCCATGTGCGATGTACTGAGGCTGCAGCACTGAGGTTCCGAGGGTGTTTCCCGAATTGCCGAGGGTGTTTCAGAGCGGATTTCGGCCCGCTCTCAGCTCCCCGCTCCCGCGTGGGGCCGCGCGGCGCTGCCGTTCCCTCAGCGCCCGGCCCCGCCCCCTGCCCGCCCCCTGGCGGCGGCGCCGGGCCCGCGGGGCGCACCAAGATGGCGGCGCGGTGGTGGCGGCGCGCCCTGCGCGGGCTCTGCGGGGCCGCGCTGTTCCTGTCGCAGCTTTCCGTCCTCTCGGGCCGCGGTGAGCGCGGCCGCAGGGCCGAGGCAGGGCAGCAAGGGTGGGAGAAGGGGCAGGAGCTGGGGCCTGGGGTGGGGACGGCTGTCCGAGCGGCGGCGGCCGCTCCCTCAGGCAGGGCTGAGCGCGGTCCGGCTGCGGAGGTGGCGGAGCCCGCGGCGGGTGAGGATGCGCTGCCGCTCCCCTGCCCGGGGGCGAAGCGGCTGTCTGGGGCATGGCCGCATTGCGTTGTGCCGGCTCTGCGGGGCTGGGGCTGAGCTGCTCGGTGTCGGGGCAGCAGCCGGGCCAGGCCCCGCTCGCCGGCTCGTGTGCGGCTGTGTTACACAGCTCCTTTTGCCTGCTCTCTGTCGCGAACGTGCGTGGGTGAGAGCGTCCTGGGGCTCCTCGGCACGGTCGGGGTGGGTGGTGTGCCGAGGCTGCCTCTCGTTCCTCTCCCGTGCCCGGTGGCTGCCGTGAGGGCTCGGCAGCAGCTGGCAGGCACACCGCGGTTCTCCCCAGCCCTCAGCCGGCCGTGCCTCCCGAGCGCTACCTCTGCTGCCATTGCTCCATTAAATGGTATTGTTCAGTGGAAAACCCTGTGTAAAATCTGCTTTCTGAGCAGTGCTTTTAATTCTCATAAATCAAAAAAATAAGATTGAATGGAAGTAAATGTAATTCATTGTCTTAAAGGATCAATTCCGTTGTAATGCTCTTAATACTTAACATAAATATCCAACTATTGGGTGAGAGCGTCCTGGGGCTCCTCGGCACGGTCGGGGTGGGTGGTGTGCCGAGGCTGCCTCTCGTTCCTCTCCCGTGCCCGGTGGCTGCCGTGAGGGCTCGGCAGCAGCTGGCACACCGCGGCTCTCCCCAGCCCTCAGCCGGCCGTGCCTCCCGAGCGCTACCTCTGCTCCATCTTTCTGTCAAAGAACTGCTGCCATTGCTCCATTAAATGGTATTGTTCAGTGGAAAACCCTGTGTAAAATCTGCTTTCTGAGCAGTGCTTTTAATTCTCATAAATCAAAAAAATAAGATTGAATGGAAGTAAATGTAATTCATTGTCTTAAAGGATCAATTCCGTTGTAATGCTCTTAATACTTAACATAAATATCCAACTATTAGTAGAACAGGAAAACAGATTTTTTTCTAGTCTCATTACACTTTCCACTTGCATTTTCATATCAGAGTGCTGAAATCAAGCTGTTTCTGAAGGTAGAATTTGTTTTAGGAATTTCACTTTCTCCGTGTTTTTGTCTTGTAGCGGGATCTTTGATGACGACAAAGCTTTCACAGCCACAGTCTACCCTGGCAAAAAGCCTAACTTCAACAAGTACAAATGCTCCCTATTTTAAAGCATTAGGTAAGGTATTGTGTTGTTTCTTTTGTTTGTTATCCATGGATCCTTCTCAGTCTTGAGTCTGAAAGTTCTTGAACTGGGTCTTAGAAACCTGTGCATGATTTCACAGTGGTAAGAAACATTGCAGTGTAACACATTATGAATTACTTTCTAGTGACCATAACAATTACTTTGGGTTATCTAATTACACAACTGGTCCATATAAGAACTAGAAAATGGTAAGTTCAAGTACCATTGTGATATATGTGGTTTATACCCTTCAGCATGGTGGAAGTTCTTGAAAGACTCCAGCATCCTGCAAGAACTTGCTCCCTGCCCACCATCAGTACAGCTTTGTAGCTCACCAAGGGTGCACCAGGACTGACAGAAATGCTGTTCTTGCTGGCAGTTTAGGAGGTCATTCTGTACACGTGCAAACAGCAAAGGCTGAGGTAGCTGTAGCCCTAATTAGAGCTCAGCTCAAAGTAGGTTACCCGTGTCACCCCGCTGCTATTCCTGAGGTGATTACTTCTGCTGAGGAGTGCTGGCTGAGGCAGAACTAATCCCCACCAGCTCAGTCCTGGTGCTGGGCTGGAGTGTTGGCTGGTGTCCTGCACACAGCCCTGTGGCTCCTCTGGCTCTCACAGCACGGGCTGGGAATGCTGCTCCATGTATAATGAGGAAAGCCCTTTCTGCAGTGTCAGTGCATGTGTTTGTCTATGTATATGTATAAAAAACTGTATATATATATACTTTAGACTATTTAGCTTTTTTAACTCATATTCTTAATTCACTTATTGCACCTTTCAGAAAGTACAGAAATTCCACCTTACCTGACTAATTGTCCCAGCAACGGGCTTTGCAGTAGACTGCCACCAGACTGCATGACATGTAACACAAACTATTCCTGTATATATGGGAAGACAGCAACTTTTGATTGCAAAGTCAAGCCGCATGTTCACTGTGTTGTAAGTAACCTGTTACTCTTAACCCCAGATTTAAGTAATTAAACTGTGGCATCTTGTCTTAAAATGCAGAATATTGATTTCCAGGTTCTGATGTGGACAGGTTTGCAGTTCTGGGATAAGTTTGATCACTCACTGTGGGCTGTTGAAGAGGCAGGCCTTCCCTTCCCTGGTTTGCCTTTCTTGCCTTGGATCTTTTTGTTACCTGGCCATGCCTTTGAGTTAAACCACTCCAAACATTTTGAAAGTGGGGAGGCTAAATATCTGTCAGAGCTACGAACTGACCTTATAAGTGAAACTAAATGAGTCCTCCTTTTGGCAGCAGCCTTAGATTGGAGGAATCAGGAATGTTAAACATGACTTTGATACCACTTTGGTGGTTTTCTATTCTGCTCTATAAGAGGTAGAAAACAGAGCAATTGTTCTTTTGCCCAAAATGTCTACTCATTAAATCTGATACTGCACATTGATTTTTGGTATTAATACTATTGAAGTAATAGTGCTGTCCTTTTACAGGATGAGAATAACCACGAGCAGGAGAACTTTACAATTAACATGACGTGCCAGTTTTGCTGGCAGCTTGCCACAAGTGATTATGTCTGTACCAATTCCACAAGCTGCATGACAGTTTCCTGCCCTCGGCAGCGATACAATGCAACATGCACGGTCCGGGATCACATCCATTGTCTAGGTAAGGTGGGCAAGGCTGGAGTTCTCTAAAGAATTTTCCACATACTCTGTAATGGGTGAATACAAAGATTGTGTTCTTTTGCAATAATAGCTTGCTCTTTGATCAATCTACTGAATTTTTTATTGTTGCATTTCATTTTTTAGCGTAATAGCAACATCTAACTGCAAACATTGGCTTATTATATTGTTTATACTGTCATACCAGAGAAAACAGTTCTTTTTATTTTTGTCAACTTCTGTGAGTTAAAATTACTTGAAGCTACTAGTGGTCTGATTCTCAGACCACTAATAGAATCAATATCAAATGTATCCATAGGCCAGTTTAAAAAAAATTATGCTGATTCCATCCAACTAGGCTTAATTTTCCCTCTGTTTATTCACTGACTTTTCTGATATGGGATGAAGATTGATGGAACAGAGAACTACAGGGTATAAATGAGCCTGTGTGTTGACAGTTGTTTCTTAGTTAGTGACAAACCTTTGAGACTCCTTTTGGAAAAAATATAGTATCTTCTTCCTTGTCATTTTATTCCTTATAATATGGTCTTTGTTTATTGCATCAATGTTTTAATATTTTCCAATGTTTAGGTAACCGTGTCTTTCCTAAGATGCTCTATTGCAATTGGACTGGAGGTTATAAGTGGTCTACTGCCTTGGCACTGAGGTAAGCAGGAACTATTAGATAATGTCACAATAGATTACAATAGTTTTCTTTTAAATCTTCAGGTTCTGTGGTTTTCTTCTTGGTATTTTTTAAAGGTGTGCTGGATAACCAGTATTTCAGATAGTCTAGCTTGAAATGGTGGGCACAGAATGCATGAAGGGTTCACATGCAACAGTGCTGGCTGTCTTCAGCAAACACAGCTGGAGGAAAAACACTTGGGTACCCAAGCTCAGTTCCTGTAACAATAATAATCATTAATCATATTTTTATTCTTGTAGCATCACCCTTGGTGGATTTGGTGCCGATCGTTTCTATTTGGGTCAGTGGCGGGAAGGTCTGGGAAAACTCTTCAGCTTCGGTGGACTTGGCATATGGACACTAATTGATGTGCTGCTAATAGGTGTTGGCTATGTGGGACCTGCAGATGGATCTCTCTATATTTAAATGTGGGTGCAATGTGTTTCAGAGAGGAGTCATTGCCTGCAAAGGGCTCTAATAAACAAGTGCGGAGGTTTGAGCCTTTAAGGTAGAATGAAGAACAACGGTTTGTTCTATGTGCATATATTTTAATGTACAGTATCTGTACTTGGTTTGCCTTTAACTAAGGTCAAATAAAAGAGTGGATCACTGAGTAAGTTGAAATTAATTGCATTTCTTCTATGGACATGGTATTTTTCTATGAAAAAAAGTTGAGCAGCTAACCAAATTCTACACTGTGCTTGAGCTTGGATGATCTGTCAGGCCCTCAAAGAGCTGTAAACTAACTTGAATACTGAATTGTTTACTTAATATTTCTATGACTGAATTTAATGCTAAAGCTAACTTCCCTAAACATGACAGTATTGTTTTTTTGTATTTGTGGGAGGATTATTTATTTGTCTGAGTTATGTGGGTAGTATGTAAATCACCATGTTTTATGATGTTAATTACATTATCTTCTTGGTTTGGGACATAGTAAGAGCCAATATCTGCTTAGGGACTCCACTTTAAATTGTGGGGGAGTTAAGAATTAGACTGCAGTATCACTTAAGGCTAAATATTAAATAATTGACATTGATTTTTTTGATTGTTCTGAAATAACTTTTTTTTTGTTGGGTTTGACCAGCATATCTGTGAAAGCTACAGTTCCTATTCTTGTGCTAGCAAGCTTGCCAAATTACTTAAAAAAAGGGTTGGCAATATAATCGATGAGTCTGTCCACTTAGGACTTTGTGACGCGATAATGTAGCGGACTGGTGCCATTACAGCACAGCTCCGTGTAGCCGCGGTGATGCCCGGCCGTGCGTGGCCCTGGCGGGGGGCTGGAGCGGCCGCTGCTGTAGCCCTGCGGTGCCGTCGGGCTGGAAATGCTATCGCTTCAATAAACGGCGCCTTGAAGCTTTGCTGGCCTTCATACTGACGGTGTCTGTCGTGCTCTCGGCTCGGTCCCGCTGCGGCGGGGCCGGGGGCGGGCGCTGTGCGGGGCCGGGGCGGGGCTGGGGCCGGGCCGGTGGATGTGTACAGAGAGAGGAAAGGTAGGTAACAAAGTAGATACATTTGTAGATACATTTTGAATGAGCAGGGAGGGCGCTAGAGGCCTATTCCTTAAGTCAGGAGGCAGGAGATAAGAACGAGCAAAGGCAAAGTGAGGCGTGGAGCTGAGGTTTGGAGCCCAAAGTCAGGATGTCAATAGAAAGTCAGGCAGAAAGAGGCCTTAGGCAAAGGAGTGCAGTCACTGCAGCTGCCGTTCCTGTCAGAGTCTTGCTGCATTTCTGGAGTGAGTTTAAACTTCATGAACAAAAGCAAGGACAGTGGGTAGACACCTGTTGCTATGTTTGAATGATGGACATGTACATTTAACTTGCAGTGGATGGGAGAGTTCTTGAATCCTTACTGTACTTTTTGTAATACTGAGGCAGCTGTTGGCTTCCTCCTCACCTTGGAGCACACCACCCCAAGAATTGTCTGGAGAGCTCTTTGCTGGGCCAGCTGTGCTCCCATGGAGACCAGAGCCAACAGCAGCCACAAAATAAACAGGGCACTTCTCAGCTGAACCAGTGCTTGCAAAAACCTAAGGAACTTATTGTTAGCCAAAATGCAGATAACTGTTATTTTCAAACCCAGAGTGAAACAGTGATGTAGGATGAGAACAGTGGTACAGACAAGGTGCAGGAGTCATCCTTTTCATAAGTCCATAGGATTTTTATTTCTGTAGGAACTCCATGCTCATTTGAATGGCTGTATCAGTACTGCTACTATGAAGAAACTCATGGCCCAGAAGCCAAACCTTCAGATCCAGAATGGAATGACTGTGATTGACAAAGGAAAGAAAAGAACCTTAGATGAGTGAGTATGTGCATGTGTGTGATGAACATTTACCAAAGGTTTTTTATTTAAGTTGAAAACAGAAATGTGTGGCCTTGCACACTAACTGCAGAAAATACGCTTTTAAGTTTTACAGCATAATCTCATAGATTTTTTTTAATATTTGTATCTACAGAGTAATTTCTTCTATGCATGCAAACTAAAAGGAAAGCTTATTGATTAATTCCTTCTTTAAAGGATTGAAATTTTTTACTTCGATCATCTCCTTTTCAGAGAAAATTCACTCACATAGTTTCCTTTTTTGGAAATTTCATGTTTCACTTTTCCTTCAAAAAGCTTTGTGGTAGTTACTTTTGTTGCAAATGCTTTGTTGATACCTAAAATCAGAAATTGCTATTCACATGTTTCTTTGTATTTCAAGCTACAGTCTGGTTACTTGTCTCCAGTGGATAGGTGTTTTTAAAATGTAGATTTTTTTTTCCTACATACTCATTCAGTGTCTTTCCAATTAATTTTTTTAAATTGTATTTTAGATGTTTTCAGATGTTTCAGATCATCTATCAGGTTACCACGAGGACTGAAGATATTTTACTGGTAAGTTGATTAAAAGTTCACTTAAAACAAGCAAGCAGTACACACAGTCACAACCAGTGAGATTAAGAGCATTGAGTTCCAAGTAACAATATAAAAAATTATATTTTTCAATTGAAGGTCAGAAAATTATTGTAAAACTCTTGAACTCTCTTCTATCCTTGAAGGTATCAAATGTGCCTTCTGTGTGGTAGTATTTCCACAGATGTGGGGACCATTAAAAACACATTGGGCCTGAAAACATTGCAAGTGTTTCACAACAAAAAATAACTGGGTCTTTTAGTTATAAATGAAAATATAACTGATTATAAGTATCACTTTTATGATGTTGAATACACTTTTATTTAATCAGATAACTAAAGATGTTATTAAAGAATTTGCTGATGATGGTGTTAAGTATCTGGAATTGAGAAGCACTCCAAGAGAAGAAAATTCCACAGGTACAGTCTTTTCTGGTTTTTAATTTGTGATCTTCTTGCACTATAAAACTTAGTTGAAGACTATGTTAGTAACAAATAAAGTCAAATTTAGTTGGCTCAATAAAAATATACTTTAAATATGAAAGCTAAGATTTAACCAAGTAAAAGCATGTCACTTTCCTATTATATTTTTGAGGGAAAAAAGGGGCTGGTCATAAGTCTATGACCCATCAGATTGGGTTATTCACTTGAGTATGGCATCTGAGTCTGCTAATATTTTTAATAGCTGATATATTTTACTTGTGTTATTTTGGTTTTTTCTTCTAGGTGTGGTTTGGTAGAAACACATAATAGAAGTACTATTGCAATTCTCTGGTTCACACAAAGTCACTTTAATTTTTCCACATGCTTAGGAGGAGGTTTAGTTCAAATATGAGCTTCACAGTAAAGCTATATTTACAGGTAGAATTAGAATTACATGTGTTAGAAGACTATATAGTCTAAAATCAAAAGTGCAACATGAAACTTAGGAGACTAGAGAGCTGGGTCTGCAGTATAACAAAAATAGTTTAAAATATGTTTGTTCCAAACGTGTGCATGTGTTTCCAGGTATGACCAAAAGGATGTATGTTGAAACTGTGCTTGAGGGTATAAAGCAGTGTCAAGAAGAAGGCTTGGATATAGATGTAAGGTAAATAAAGCATGTGGAACACCTCTGTTTCAAGGTTTTGTGTATTCTGATGCCTGGTCATGCTTGCAGAGAGGTTTACAAACCATCAGTACAGGAAAGAAAATCGTTTTTAAACCAGATTACATGGAGTGGAAGCAGGTAATTAGTATGGAGACCTGACTTTTTATCTTCTTTTTTTATTGGTAAAGAAGAAAACAAGGTAAAACCTCTCATCTTTAAGGCTGTCAATTCTTTGCAACATTTTCAGGAAAATAACTTGTTTTTTATGGAATTGACTCATTTTTCACAGCTTAGCTTTGTTGCAAAGGTTTAGTTTGATTAGCTGTACAAGCAGCTTACTGTAAAGAAGAGCTGGTCCTGACCAGCAGAGAAGTTTCAGTAGGTGTCAGTGGCTGTTTGGAGGCAGTTTGCTCTCCTGGCTTTTATATCCTCTGAAGCAACTCTTACTAGATTTATCTGTGAAAACTGAAGAATTTTCATCCTTCATGTGTGTTATTGCATATCATGGGCCAACTTATTTATCTATTTGTGTCCCTCTGCACTTTGGTACTTTCATTCCTAGAACAGTTTCCTATACAAATACTCAGCCATGAAGGATATAAGTGCTGTTTTTTGTTGGTGTCAGATCTGTTGATCAGCTTGTATATAATTTAATAATTTAGTACCTTTCTGTCCCAGGCTGTTAATAGCAATAAACAGAAGAGATGGCCCAGCAGTTGCTAAGGAGACTGTTAAACTTGCTGAAGAGTTCCTGCTTTCCAGTGATGGAGTTGTAGTAGGACTTGACCTCAGTGGTGATCCCACTGTAAGTTTTTGGTTTATTTTAGTCTGTTCTTGGAGATAAATGTGTAATGTTGTGTAACAGCAGCTGGTTCTAACCAGTTTTTCTCACAAGTTTTTGTCCAATTTTTGTGCTTAGCTGGACTGGATTGATACTGGGTTATTCCCTCTTGCTGTTAGGGGCAGATCTCTAACAAAGAATCCTTAAATTAGTATGTGACTGAGAAAAGAACCATTGAAATGCAGTGTTTATCTGGGAAGTGTGTGTACCTCAATTGTCCCAGTCAGATAACTGGGTGGAGGCAAGTTAGTTCTCAATATTTTACATTTTGTTTAGCTGCACCAAATGCTCATTTTGTATTAAGAAAGCAAAAATATTTGAGGACAGCTGTCAAGCTGAAGTGAAATAGCACTAGCTGGTAGCTGTGTAAAAGGTATCAAAATCAAGACAGTTGGCCTGATTTTGATGCTTTGATTAGGCATCATCTGAGCTACTGGTGTTTGATCCATTGGTATAAATCGTGTGGCAGAGGCTTGTTTGACTTGCTGCATTCCACACTGAAGTAGTGGGAAAAGTGGAATAATTTAAATGTAACTGTATTTGAATGTAGTGCTTGGATATTGCTAGACTTCTTAATTATGGTAAGGACAGGGATTTTGTCAAATAAGCTGTAGAATTCCTGTTTTCCAGGCAGGACATGGTCAAGATTTTTTGGAACCTCTCTCTGAAGCAAAAAAAGCAGGTCTGAAGCTGGCACTGCATCTTTGTGAGGTAAAAGGTGGTTTTGTTTTTTTTTTTTCTGCTTCTCTGTAATTGTAATTTTGTGAAAATTTTGATGAAACTAA